GAATGTCTGCCAGCCCAGGGAGCACTGGAGTGGGAGTCCAGAGGGGGCCTTCCAGCCAGGCCTGCAAAACTCGGGGTGGGGGGGGACCTGGGCCACCCTTCCCAGGCCTGCGTGCCTCATCTGCCATGGGAAGGGCAAGTGAAGTGCCCTTCAGAGCCCTTTGGCGGGTCATTCCAGAAGGTTCTGTGGCCCTCCCCGGAGGCACCATGAGGCTGGCAGGGGTGGGGGTCTCATGGGCAGGAGGCTCCTGTTCAGATGGGGGTCTCTGGAAGGAGAGGAGGGAGGACTCTGAGGCCAAGGCAAGCTCTTAAGTCCCAGAGTCTCCCAGACGTTTGAGGAATGGAAATTTGAGGAATGTGAAGTTTCCTTCCATGGTCGCAGCACTCTACAGTTTGCAAAGCACTTTCCTCTCTCGAGAGCCCCTGTTTCTTCCCCCTAGTTAGCGCCAGGCTGAAGTGACATAGGGATGGAGAGGCCTGGCGAGGACCACCTGTTCTGATTGGGCCCGTAGGGAAAAGGAGGCAGTGTCGCCTAATGGTTTGGGCCAGCACGACTGATCCCAGTTTAAGCCCCAGGGCTGTTGTTTTCCAGCTCCGGGAGCCTGAGCAGACGCCCCGAGTTCTCTGGGCCCCAGGGTCCCCATCTGGAAGGTAGGCCCTCAAGCCACCCACCTCACAGGATTGCTCTGGGGATGACGTCACAACGTACAGGTGCTCGCCACAGCCCCAGCATCCACGCGGCCCGGCACACGCGTGAGCAGGTATTATTAGCGTCTCCGTTTTGTGGATGGGGAAACTGAGGTTCATGCGACTCGTAATTGGCAGAGCAGGGAGTGGAAGCCCCCGCCCCCCGTTCTTGGCTTCCTTTTCCCTGACACCACAGATGGTACACTGAGAAAAGAGAGGAAGGAGAGCAGGGAGAAGGGAACGGGGAGACCGAGCGAGATGGAAGGAGGTGGCGGCACCGCGATCAATTACTTGGGCTATAAATTTCTGCTGTTTTGCAAAGTGAACACACAACCTCAGAGGAGCGTCGCCGGCTGGGCGTGCTGGGGAGAAGACGAACAGCCAAGCTTCCGATGGTGGGAACAGGAGAAGGAGATGAGCTGAGCTCCAGGGTGGGGTCTAAGCGGCTGGTGGTGTGGGCGGAGGTCAAGGACCCATGGAAAGCAGCAAAGGAAGGGAAAGACCTGAGTGGGGGGTGGGCTTGGGAGCTGCCCTGGAGCTCCCTGGGGAGGGAGCTCGCCCCCCGCCCCCACACACCTCCTCCCAGTAGCTTTTTGCCCACTGCTCCGAATGGGAAAACCAGTCCTGGGCAGCCCTGTCACTATACATGCCCGCCTGTCCAGACCTCGGCTGGCTGCTGCCTTCACAGCTGGTCCTGGGGGCTACTGGGAAGGGCTCCTGGAACTTCAGCTCCCTCATCTGTAAAATGGGGACAATGAGGGAATTCACCTCCAAGAGATGGCGTGAGGGATCAGAGAGACCTCGGGTGTAAATGGCTTAGCCTGGGGCCCGGCATGCTCTCACAAGTTATCATTATGAAGATAACCGAGGGCTAAGGGTTTGTAAAAGGCTAAAGGTAGTTTGGAGATCAGTTGAATTATTTAAAAAGGTAGGGGCGTCCTTCCTCCGAGGGACAGTGGTGGAAAGGGTTGCCCACAGTGGGGGTTTAATTGACCTGTCTGTCTCCTGGCATGCAGGGGCCCGGAGCAGGGGCTGGGGTACAATTTGTGATTGGGGTACAGGGTCGGAGCGAGGCAGCCCAGGCTCCTAGCCCCCACGTTCCTGAGCCTGGCTAGAGCTCATTTAAGAAATAGGCAGAGGCCAGCTTATCCCTCTGGAATCCAAGTAGCCCTTCCCAGTAGCCCCCAGAACCAGCTGTGAAGGCAGCAGCCAGCCGAGGTCTGGATAGGCGGGCATGTACTAGTGACAGGCCCCAGGAAAATGGGATTCTGGGAACGATCCTCTCAGGGGACCTTGCACACTGTGGAATGACAAAGACCAATGACGTTGGAATGGGTCGTCACTTCCACGAGGGGCGTTTCAGAAGCACCCTGTGCTCATCTCTGCTGGGTGTGAGGAAATTCAGCAGCAAACCAGCCTCGGGCCCTGCCCTCAGGGAGCTATTTGTCAGGGAGAAAAACACAGATATCGCTGTCTCTGAATCTCTCTTGGACCCCTGACAATGGCCAAAGTAATGGGAGGCAGCAGGATGGAACAAGAAATCCACAAACTACAGACATAATGAAAGGAGGAAATCTGGGGTGGAGGGGCCTGAGGGCGAGGGGAGAAGCTGTAAATCGGGGTCCTGGAGAAGATGCCTTGAGTTCACATGGGCACCAGGCACAGGGCCCTCAGTGCATACTCTCCAGCCTGGGGGATCCCGGGCTAACGGCAGCAGGGGAGCGTACGATTTTAAAGGAAACCTCAGATGGAGTCTTTTAGAATGAAAAGATGCTCGCCGGATGGGGATAATAAAAATGTTATTTTAGTTAGGACGGGCTAACGGCTATAACAAATAGTCCCTAAATAAAAGTTCATTTCTTATTCACGGTAGTCTGCTCTGGGCTGGCGGAGGGATGGGACCAGGGTCCTGTTCCACAGTCACTCGGGGACCCAGGCTTCTTCAACTTGTGGCTAAGGCCTTAGCCTCCTCGGCAATAATCTTGTGGAAGGGGAAAGAGAGAGAGTGGAGGGTGGCTTGGAAGGAATTTATGGACCAGGCTAGGAAGGGGTGGGCACATTACTACGGCTCACATTCCATTGGCCAGAGAGCATAGTCATATGGCCATGCCTAACTGCAAGGGAGGCTGGGAAATGTAGTTCAGCTATATACCCAAGGGAAAATAATGAACCAGGGTTTGGTGAAAACGTAGCAATCTCGACCACAAATGCCGTCCTCTTTGAGTGGATGAGCTGATGCTCACAAAGCACCTTGGGTAGGGTCTGGCCACTGACATGTGTGCTGAAGTTGGTTACGTGTCATATGAACTCAGGCGTGGCTCACTTGAGGGTCAGGACTGGTATCTGAAGGCTGTTCCTAACCCGCCTTCTGAAATTTTACATTAAAGTGTGTGTGCGCGTGCGTGCGTGCGTGCGTGTGTGTGTGTGTGTGCGTGTGTGAGAGAGAGTGTGTATGTTGGAGAGAAGGGATGGCGTAGAGGGAGGGAGAGGGAGAGACATGGATAGAGAGATGTTTTTAGTGTAGGGAGAGCATCCAAATCTTCCGGATTCTCAAAGCTTTCAGGCATAATGACTTGAAGAGACGTGGACCGCTATCCTATTAAAGCAACGGCTTGACTGTGCAAAGCTAACTTCGCAAGGCCTTGGTGCAGAGGACCTTGATCCTCAAGGCCCTGCTAACCATGGCAGGAGATAGAATTGAAGTTTCCCAAACCAACATCTCCCCTCCCCCACCAGACACTCCCCAGAGACCCCTAGATCAGGGCTGAGAAAGCCCCGGCTGATCCACGACAGTCGGCTGCAAAGCCACGAGGCAGGACCGCGAAGATAGCAGCAGCTTAGACATACAGGTGGAGAAACTGAGGCCCAGAGAGGAGCCCTCTTGCCCAGGGTCACAGAGCGAGTCTAGGCAGAGCAGGATAGGCAGTTGGATTTAGTCAGTCAGGTTTGAGCAACAAAATTAGACTGTTTGCCTTGAGCAGAAAAGGGCTTCATCGCCAGACTGAGGGGGAGAGCAGGCAGGCCCCGGCGAGGGCATAATCGGGGCATTTTGGAGAGTCGGGGGAGACTCTGTGACGACCTTCACGACGGGCCATCAGGACGAGAAATGAATGCCTGTCCTCACAGGACGGCTGGTGACCCGGCAAGGGCCACAGGCCCATCCCTCGCCAAGGAAGGACAGCAACATCCGGACTGACAGCCCATTCCCCAGGCTGCGCACATAGGGGAAATTCCCCACAAGGAAACTGGGGGGCTTTCAGCAGAAATGGGGGTGGGTGCTGGGCTGGCCAAAACAGCAGATGTCTTCTCTGGCCTCCTGCACCAGGATTGTGCAATCGAAGCAAAACAACCACGGGACTGGTTTTCCGCAGCCCAGAGTCTCACCGAGGACTCCAGCCCGGAGCAGGGTTGTGGGGCCAGGAAATCAGAGGCGCTCGGCAAAGTTGTTCCCGGCTCTGCATTTCCCCCAGGAGGGCAGAAAGCAGGCTGGTGGCTCTACGCCAGGCTGGGCTCACATGGGGCTTACTAGGCTGGTCGACGATTTCACAAGCAAGGGACACACGACACAGTCCAGGGGAGAATTCATCGCAGGAGACTTGGGAGGGCTGCCGCTCTCATCCCACCCCCCAGCGGGGGGCCA